GTTCCCCACCGATTCGAAATCACCGAAACGTATTCAAATGTTCGTACTCGTGTTCATTTGTCACAGTTTCCTTGCCGCTACGGACGAATTGTGTTTTATAATTAAAGTACTCCCATTCAAGATACAACCTTCAACAGTAGAGAATACAGGTTATATTCAACATGATCAGGAAGTTGAGATAGGTCGTTTTTGGAGGGCGTGTGTCAGTACTGTATGCCACGTGGCAGGCGATAGTTGCAATTAGGCGCATTCAGCGTCGGTCTTTCGCAACGGAAGGACGTGTCGCGTGCCGGTCGCTTTGTCTGCTACACATTCAGAGACGCTCCACTGGAAATGAATTGGGCGAGGTAATGGCTCAGTGTGCAACTCGACGGCCTTTTCGAAGCTCCCGTCTTGGGATTGATTGGCCTTTTATGCCGTTGATAGAATTTGCACGCAATTAAAAGGGTCTTGTTTGAGGTCGCATTTATTCAAAATTCTAAGCCTGCGTGATTGTTACTGTATCTGATTATTTTTCTGTTTTATACTGACTTATTTTTTTTAATTTTTTAAACACTAGGACATATATGATAACATTATCCTGTGTTTACAACACAAAACACGACGTGTTCACGTGGACAGACACCCAGATGCGAAACAACTATCTGTGGTTCATACAAATAGTTCCCATTTTATATACTATAAATTTTCTTATTTATGATAATGTTACTACAACAGTACAAACATAGTGTATTCCGAATGTAATATTAGAGCCCATCTCATGTATCTCTTTAAGTTGTTGCTTGTTTTGTGTTAACTGCTTTGTGGACGTCATGACTTAAATTTGCCTAAAAGGAAAGTGTAACTGTTTCTTTATATCAAATAATAGAGTAAACTTAATCATCTCGTATGCATCATCTAAGATCATTTTCATTTGCCGAACAATACGTCTTAAAAATGCCTCAGGAAGATTTTCAATTGCCATCTCACGACCCCACTTATACGTCATGGCCGTCAGCCAATGGGCTATCAATATTGTATAAGCCACTGTGGGCATTATGCGAAACATAACAATGCCTACAATGGGATACACGATTTGACAGATCGCGCGAGCTTGGCAGACGCGCGCTGTCATAGGTCACTGGGAAACAATGTCTGGCAGACGCGAAGCCTCCATACACGGCCTCTCCGAGCTATTCACATTGATGTATCCCCGACCGAAACAAATCTATACGAAGGTAATGATGCGAGGTTAGTATCTCTATACAAATGTGTATAAATTATCGTATACTTATTTCCCTTGTGTCGACACGGATTATTAGGGACCGTGTGAGCCGCGGAAACTCATGTTCATTGCGGTTCATTTGAATATATGAAGGAGCAGTAATGATGTCGTTAAGGTCTTCAAAAGAAAAAGCATGTGCTTAATAGGAATATTTAGTTTTACGCGACGTTCTACAGAGCGTTTCCTAATTAAGACACGAACTTTGAAATAGCTTGTACAGATCCAAATTCTTTTAAGTGATGTTTAAGCTCTGTGGTTGAATCCCGTACAAAAATCACAGGAAGATATTACGCAAAATTGATAGAGAGTCCTTGTTATATCAAATTTAAAATACATAATGCCATTAGCAGAAAAATTGTCACATAAAATAGTATTATTAACTCTTTTTCTACTCATTCATATCAGTTCTACTAAGGAACTACGTTAGCCGTTCCCGGTTCGGAACAGTAAGGCATTTTTAAATGGGATAATACTCGAGCATTAGCCGATTAATATTAAAAATAGGATTCGCTTTATGGAGGATAGTATGTAACTTTTCCTCCATGAGGCAAGGTAAACGTCAGCTACTTGCCAGATCGTGACGGGAAAGAATGGCCAACCACCCACCTAAAACCATTACATCCGTACAGTTGGCGCTAAGTGAATTCGGTTGTCGTTGCCACCGTCAATTTAGTGGCGTGGACCAATCATCATTACCGAGGGTAGCGACGCCATCAAAATGGAGAAAAGTGACCGAATATCGGACGCACCTTAGTCGGAGCGGGATGGTGGTATATCTGTCACGGGCGAGAGACAGAGACGGCGCACGGAGGCGGCCATCGCAAACAAGCCTGCAAATGAAAGATTATGTTTATCGAATTAAGGTGCACCTTGGGCGCGAATGAAATTCTCTCTTTATTCTGCCGACTGTAATAACTTGCGGTTAACGATGCTTCGAGTTCAGTTAGCTGTTTGTTCTAGTTTTGCTGTAATGGTTAGCTCGATTAGAAAATCTCGTGAACATGCAAACAGGCTTGAATGCTAGGTTGACAACGTTCAATAAATATCCTCTGCATAGCGAAGGCCTAACTGTGGGAAAATTAATAACTGTAGGTTGTTTTTTAATTTACCTTTTGTAGAAAAACGCTGAAGATACGAGTTATTGGAATCATTGCAAGATAATAAGTAATAGTGAACTAGTTTGTGTTTAATCATTAAAATTTACAGCGTTTTGTTTTGAAGTTTCTCAGTAGCATTGTAATTGAGTGAAACTGACTTCTAGTCCCAGAAGTGGGACATATGGAACCTCATGGGCATCCGGCGAGCAGGTTTATTGTCTAACTTTGAAATAAATCACTGAAGACACGCGTCCAGTTAACTTTTAATACTAATAACTAATCGTGAAGTTGGTTGAATTCAAACGTTACCTACATTTTATACTAAATAGCATAGCAGCTTAAATATAATGATATTTCTAATTATGTTTCTATTAAAGTTAAGCAGTTTGAAATTAGTAATTAATTTTAATAATTGCTTATAGAAGAAATTTTAAATATCAGATGCTTGATAACATTTGAACATTGATTACCTTTATTCTACCTTCTTAAAAAGGCCACATATTTTTTAAATGTTTAAATGTTGACGAAAAGTAAAACTTAAGTAGTATCTATAATTAAAATGTATTAAAAGTTTTAAATTTACAGCCAGACGGTGTTACCCATACCAGTTTCTTTCATTTTATAAATTTAATTCGTCCGTCACTGGCAAAGTGACCTTTTACCACGTGAGACAGCCGCTTACAACTTAGAAAGCATTATGCGTCTGTACACTTCTGGCAAACTTGAGCCCTATTTTAAGATATTTAAGTTTCAGTTTGCGTTATTAACCACCAAGATCTTATTTCTTCGCGATCCTCTCGAGAAGACAATGCAATCTATTCTGAAAACCACAGCCGCGGTCGAAACTGTGCCGTATACAACAACGGCACGGTCGAATTTGCTCTGGCGGGCGTTCACAACTAAAGAAACTCACATTTTACTGGAAATGTGTAAGAAGTAAGGCAGGGAAAGCCGCGGGATCCGTTATAAAGACATATTATTCTTTTGAGCGGGGCTGGGGATATTGTCGAGTCGCAATAAGTCGCAGTAATCCTAGGAGGTACACCGCGCCCGATTGCGCTACCATTGTTTGCTCTCCCTAATGAAAATATTTCGTACTCGCCCTGTCCTCTTTTTTCCTCGCGCTTCACGACGCTTAGCGCCCGTTCCGGCGCCGCCAGATTGCGCAGTTTACATCTCTTTAGTGTCGCCAGTTGTGTTCCTTTTGGGACACCGCACAATTTTAATCCGCTTCAACTCGCCCGTCTCCGTTTCGCAGCGCGACCGCCTTTAACGGGAGGTCGGAGACAACTCTCGAATAAGTACGCGGAGTGGAAAGTAAATACTGACATCGATGGGAACGCGGAATGGAAATAAGTCTATCTGCTGTCGGTACGATACGACTTGGGACCTTCAAGAAGAGAGCCTACTCCTACCTAAAAGGCTGGCAACGCAATTGCGACGCAACTGATGTTGCGATTGTCCATGGGCGGCAGTGATAGCCTATCATCAGGTGACCAACATACTCGTTTGCCTCCTATTTCCACAAGGAAAAATCAATAATAACAAGCGTCCTTAAAATAATTTTATATGCAGATGACATGAAAATCCTCAAACAGATAAAATGTTACACTAAATTTTTTTCCAACCCCGATAAAGAAGTTTCACTTCAGAAACCATAGGCAATAAATGAAGGTGCAAAAAGTTACAGTAAATAATCTCCGTTTATTACATCGGTTATAATTATATGCTTTTTTACGAGGAATCCGATGTAAAGTGACACTAGACAAAATGCGGAACAAACTTATATACTTTAATCTTACTTTACTTAAGACTGGTATCTTCTGTGAGGCCGAGGTTCACCGAACGAAAGATATTTTCTGTTGCTCTAATACCCATTCGAGTTATTGGTCCTTACTACAACTCAAAATTCCACCAAGCTTCCTAATGATTTTGCAATTAGATACATTTGCTTTGAAAACATAACTAACCCTTCCTATTGGGACAAGAAGATAAACTACAGCTTTAAAGGCCTGGGCCCTGTTCTGCTCAGCCCTGAGTTTCTGTAATTGCATTTATACGAACATCTTGTGCAAACGACAACTGGCTTTTCACACCGGAACTATCCTCACAGTATGCAAAGGAAAATACAAAACAGCTTGGCACGTTTAGATACCGTCAATTTCACACTTAAAGTTATTGAAATTTAAGTGAGAATAATACAGCATAAAACAGAAAAGCTGAATAAGATTAAATTATTTTATGGTTGGCAAATCAATTCTATTCACACTGCTTATCAATTCTTCACTTCTATGACATATACACAACACATGAAAGTGGTCATGTCTTTCAGCAATGTCCCGGTGTTCGCACGAATGATATTGAATTGCAATTTCACGTCCAGAAGAATAATAAAAAAAAAACACAAAAATTGAGGTCTACTGAATACCTGGATCAGAGGAGGCCAATTTTAAACGTTGTGAACCGTGTTGATTTCAAAGCTACTAGACAACCAACACGCCATTTTCCCCACTGACTTCAAGAAGAACGAGTTATATTCAATACGTACGCTTTCACTTCACTTCAATTACTATCTGCAAACGTATCGCGCCAACCTTCTGGTATCGGATCCAATTGTTCGCTACGTAGCTGCGGAGGCGATGAGCTGTGCGATTCGCGACAGCTTCCCGGCCCGCCCACTTCCCGCGGCCGAGTCCGGCGCGATCAGCGCTGTGTTGCCGGGGCGAGCCACGCCGGGCGAAATTCAAAACAACGATAAATCAGCGACGGGACAAATAAAGGACCAAGGTAAGCTCCGGTTGTGGGCCGGCCAGGAGCGGACGGGCGAGCGGGCGCCGGGCCACTTCCGGTGAGCGGATGTCGCTCTATTGGCGGGAAAGGCGAGTCAACTGACCGCCTTGTCGGCTCCTCTTTTTTGTCGGGTCCGTGTTTTCGACGGCGGCCGGGTGGCCCCGACTTTTGTGCCCGTTTACGCGTTCGTGATCCGGGCCTCGCCGCTAAAGCTTTGTTGACGACGAAGCGCTGCGTGGAGTTATGTTTTTTTTTCATTTCAACATGTATTGGCTTAAAGAGTTCTGTTAAAAACGACTCATATATGGCTTTTTAATAAAACTGGGCAATTTGTTTTTTGCACAAATATCGACTAATGCTAGACATCGAAATTATAAATTTTATTTAATTATTTAAGTTTACATAAATATGAATATAATGATAAATATATTAAAAATTCAAACTTTCCATCACAAATTGAATTTTTTCCTACTTTCTTCCATTAACACAGAGCAGCTATCGTAGATTTCAACTTTTTTGTCTTTATCCATTACCACAACTATTTAAAGAAATGGTAACCCTAAAACTGCATAACACAATTTAAATATATGACAGCAGCGAAAATCGGGCAGCAACTGTAGGTTTGCGAGCGTATTCAGTTCCGCACGGGAAATACGATTCAGCGTTGACTGTCTTAAATCTAAAGTTAAGCTAGCCCTCACTAATGCTCAAGCATCCCAATCTAAAATAACCGTTGAACAAACGAGATGCGCTCACCCAGTCCCCGTGCTCAGCGCACGCGTCGCCATTCGACGCACACGTGTTTCCCAAATTAAAAACCTTTCTGCCCGTGCACGAATATTAATTGACCGACATCCACCCTAGCTGCACACGCGGGGCTGTGCCCCCGTGAGAAAGACCGCGAGTTAAATCCTCATCGTTATATAAACGTTTACAAATGATGGAGGACACTTTTACTTTTTCAAACATGTCTTTGAATTCTCTGATGGAAATGTAAAGAACTATATTTTATTAATAGTACTTCGTTTATAGGTTCGTTGTCGGATCTAATTTGATTTTAAACTTTTATACAATTGATTAACAGTAATTTGGTTATAGGGAGAATACCTATTTGTAAAATTGTGAATAAAATAGACATCAGCAGTTATTTTAGCATGCGCATCTGCTATGATTACCTCAAGGGATGATATTGGGTCTACTGTTATACCCACACTGTAACATTATCCCGACCGTTACAATAAACTGTCTGAATGTGCTCCACGTGTCGATACGATCAGATAACCTTAATGAAAAGATCTCCGTCCAGATTACAGCCAGTCGGTCAGGCTTTCGGATGGACGAGATTCGTATCAAGTTGAAAAATCGAGTGGTTGACAGATGCACGGTACATTGTGCTGTAATTGCTAAGGAATTGATTTGAGGAAGCTCAGCGCTTTTCAAATTGGAAATGTCACGTACATTCAATTCCTTTATTTTTATTATTTTCCAATACATGGTTTCTATTTCGCAAAAGTGGAAATGGACAAAAGGAAAATCAGCGAGCATCGTCAAAAATCGTATCACCTCAGTTTGACATGTCGACTTATCGACGGCGCTCGGAAGCGGCAACGGCGAGACGACGTACGAAATTATTAATAAAAGCGTGCATAATTCGGCGAGTGTGCTCGGATGAAAGGCGATTAGCCGCGGTGCGCTGAGCCCGTCCACCCCACACTACCCCGTCCCTACCCCGCCATTGTTAGACACGGCCCGTGGACCCACTATTCATCCTTATTTAAATCACTATAGCCCGTGAGCATTTAGACGTGCCGCGCTCGGAAGAATATTGTTTTAGCCCGCGCGGACTTAAGACCGACTGCAAACTGATCGTCGATTTATATCCCCTTCTTTGTCTCCACTGTGATTGTTTAAACCAATCGCGCCCTTGTCCAGATTAGAATTTATGTGTACACTATTACTGTTTAAATGCACAGCCGTATAAATTGTACAGTTTTTTTAAACTTTTGTTTTTATAAAGAAGGTGAACTTTATACTATGGTAGGGCCACATTAGAGTCCTCACTTAAACGAATAGGCAGGTCCATCCGGGTAAGTACCACGACCTCACAGAAGACCGGCGTGAAGTGGAAGTATTATTCTTTTGCCTTTCGTCATGTGAGTAGGGTAGCCGTGGCCCACTTTATTAAATGGTGGCAACGTATCTGTGTGTCTGTGGGTGATGCCTATATTCAGCTGTAGACTCCAACAGGCTGTAATGATGACGATGACGATAAAGGTTAAACTTCAATAACGGCAAACTTAAAAATATAATAACGAAATTCAAACAATCAATGCTAGATTCAATTCAAAAACGAAACGATGAAATCAAGAAGAACTTTTCTTTACTTCTGAAGCTTGAAAAGTTTCGTAACTTACATTCAACTTTTCATTAGTTCTTTTTTACTTTGGGACCGGGTCGCTTTTTTACTGTGGGAAAGCAATAAATACCGTTGGCATCGGAGCAAATCGGAAATCTGCCAATTGGAAATCTCTAATTGTGTATATAACATGTCAATCCCTTGCTTTATTTAGGTATCGTGCTTGAGTAGGTCACCTTCACAACTTTAAACATTAATTGTAATCTTGAAAACATTGATGAAAATATCTTGAAATGAGTTCAGAAACTCATCAATTACTAGCCAGCTTAAATTAAGTTTTATATAAAAATAGCTTTAATATAAAACAATAATTTACGACGACGAAATATTCTCTATGAATAGTAACAAATAGGTCATGCAAATTATTAAATCAGTTTGAGACTAACGTTATATTTTACGTGAGTTGTGAAATATGTGGTATATAATATATATTGTGGTCGCCCGGTGGTCCATATACGAAATTCGACCATAATTTATTATACTTAATAGTGTACGTGCAATGATTTTTTTTAATGATTTAATGTTTTTTATGCACAATTTAAAAACAATTTGCATTCTGCAGTTCTTCTCCACATAAACTATAAGCGTGAGAAATTTCATACCGCCTGCGCCCGCGCAAGTTTCATAAAAAGGTGTACTAAGTTTTGCTTGAAGTATTAATAAATAGATAACGTATAAATTAAGTAATTTTATAATGAGCAACAGTAGTAGGATAATCATTTACTGCAACTATGATATAACGGTACCACAATAAATTTGCACTGTTCTAATGCCTGAAAATAAGAGGGAGTTTGAAATGTTGGAAGACTCTTCTTCACTACATAGTATAAAACGAAATCGTCCCGCTGTCTGTCTGTCCCTATGTATGCTTAGATCTTTAAAACTACGCAACGGATCTTGGTGCGTTTTTTTTACCAGATAGAGTGATTCAAGAGGAAAGTTTATATAATACATTAAGACCGTGCGAAGCGAAGGCGGGTTTATAGTTTTCAATAAACGAGCAATATAGTTTTAAATTATACCTTTACATAAACACACCATATGCATATACACGGGTCAAGCAAGCTAATAATAAAAGCGTGTTAAAGGACCCCAAATTCAACGCGTCCGATCGTAATTAAAAACAAATCCGCAACGCAAACTCCGTAGAGGCGAGTCGTAGAGCGGATCGATCTACAGCGGGGGCCACACTGCCGCGGACCGTTCGCGCGTGTGAATCCACACGTCAAATGCCATTGTCGGGGTATTAGCTAATGCATCGGGGACTCGCCCGCTCGGTCAGAATTAACGCCGCTTCTCATTCAGAATTTTGGACGATTAAAAAGATTGTTTTTTGTGCCAGGCGGACGGACGGATGGTCGCGAAGGGCTACGGATGATTCCGAGCCGGTGGACGTGTTCACTTTGGGACTTTAATTGAAACACAACATAACAGCTCAGTAATATTGTTTGTCGAATGTGAGCTTCAAGGTAATTTTCCATATTCACGCTGTATTTTTATTTTAAGTTTTGGACAAAATCGGAAAAGGATAAATCAACGCTTATAATCTTAGCCAATTAGCCTTGGTTATTAATCGTCACTGTTTAATCACGCTCAAGATTTAGCAATAGGTAGCCTTGGTCTGTTTGTGGATTTTTATTATATGCATGGACTTGCTGCAGTTAAATATATCCATGATGATACCTTGTATCATTTGCCATATTTCGCTTGGTAGTACTTATTTTACGAGTTTTACATTTTTGTATTTATATAACAGTGCTCCAACAACGGAAAGCTACGAATTCAAAGGATCCTTTATCGTGCAGAAATGAACATTTGAGTCCCGATAATATTTGCTGGAAAGCGCGCACAATCAGAAAGCGTCCGCAACATCAACGTGCCACCTTAACGAGCGGCCATAACGCGTTATTAACATAAAAATCATTTATAACAACATGAAATATCGCCGTCAGAGTCTAACGACAATACGTGCAATTTTCCATGCAATAAATCCCCCAATAATAATACTTGGAGGGTGACACAGTTGCAAAGGGCTGAGAGTCAACGCGTGCGCTCGGTCGCACGTCGCACAGCCCGCCAGCGAGCACCTTGCCTTTGTTCAACCCCTGCTGCATAGGTGAATTATATCAGTTCGCGTGTCAAAAGGGCCGTTACCGAATCGTATTCGGCGCGAGCTCATTTGCGAATCCGATACATTGGGTTTTAACGCAGCACTTGCAACGGTAGAGGGAGGAGGTCACCAAATGCCGATGTTTCCGATAGAATTGGTAAATAGCAGAGAGCGTATTTTTATTTAATTCTTAAAATTATAAGATTCTTACAGAATCTTGGGACGTTTTCTTCTGTTTAATATTACTTATTGTCTTTAAATTGTAAGAACTGCATAAAATGGGAGGCAAAATAGGAAAGAAACATACCTTCATTAATTAACCACCAGCTTATTTCATTATGTGGTATGATTTATTTGATGTTACGGAATATCCTTAAACGATTTATCTTGATATAATTCAAATCACTTTGTGTCTTTATTTAATGACTATTTCTAAAATATTCTTCTTACATTACTGACTATAATGTATCCAGTTTTAGTGAGTCGCAGCGAATAGAATTTATGTTTTGCATTTAATTATCACAATAAAACTGGCAGGCCCATAAAAAGTAGTTGAGGAAGCGTCAAGCCCTCAACACTACTTTGCATACGAAAGAGTTAAGGAAGTGGAAACTAATTTATAAAGATAAAGTGTTATCATTATGTAAAGAAGGAATTAAAATTATACTAGTTTCTGTGAATTTTTTGAAACGTTATTATTCATTATACTTTTGTGCACCAATAATGTGACGGAAATGTTAGACCCGCGAGTACGTCCTGTTTTAATTTATTCACTTAGCTGTGCCTTTTAAATGTTACTACATGCGTTTAAAAGTAAGAGTATGAAATATCTCTCAGACTAGTGAAGTATTAAATAAGAGAACTATTTTCTGAAACGATCGACCAGAATATCGAACCAGACTGTAATTTAAAAAATAAAAACATGTAGAAAAAGTACGAAAAGATTGTCGCCGCTGTGGGAATCGAACCCACGTCTTCGGCATTCGCGGCCTGATGCTTTAGCCACTGAGCTAAACGGCTGATAGCCACAGCGACGAAAATCTTAACGCCTTCCTTCTACATTGTTATTTAGCATTTGAAGCAATGCTTGGCGCATCTATTGTTATATCCTTTCCAGCATATATATATATATATATATATATATATATATATATATATATATATATATATATATATATATATATAATATATTTGCTGTCTATCGTAATGCAGCTATACCAACTAGTACGAACTGAGTACATCAGGTACAACATTGTCTACACTTCGAGTCACATCGACTTACCCCCCGCTGGCCTCGGCTCTGGCCCCAAACGTCATAACCCTCCACGATATTAAATTAACATAAACACGAGCGGGCGAGTCGCGGGTGAAATCGGCAAGACAAATCTATCACTTGGAAATCGTTAATTTGCGACGCACCGTGCCCTCGACGGCTGAGGGGCTGCAAATGTTGTTTGGGTGCTGAATGGCTGGCTAAATACGTTAGCCCCTTATCTTGGGAGACGTTGAAAGGTAGGCATCACCTCCGTTTGATGCGGCCCTAATGCGATTGCCCGATGAATGCGAGTATCGTTTTGAAATGGTTCAACAGGACTGCTTGGAAATTGTTGATAATACGGACGCGATACTCGATACCATGCAATAACATAATACTGTAGTATTGATATCATCGAAATATCCTCAGTAGGATTTATTGATAATTTTCTTTGATCTGTATAACATTTTATCCTAAAACAATGAAAAATCGGCTTGTTGAAGTTATCCGGTGTTGTCCAATATAACGAACTGACAATTCTTTTACATGATTTTATGAAATTTTGTTGATATAAGTCGCAAATGAACTATTTCAGTAAAATCCTTTTTAAACTTGCCTCGAATTAATCTAGTAATTAAGTCGGACGCCGGTCGCAAAGTCGGTAAATTTTCCAGTCATTCTATGACAAATATTTGTTTATAATTTCTCTTAGCTTTGCGGTCGTACATTAATTTCTCGCTTATAGTTTCACAATAATCGTAAATATAATGATCACTAAGCATATTTATGATATTCATTCACGTAACTAAACCAAGGCTTATTAATAAAGATCAGTTTCAACCTTAGCGAATGTCTTTCGGCAACGATTAATAAAATGTTGATAGAGGGTACTAAAGGGACCTTTTTGTGCGGTTATTAAATTTCAACATACGTGCGGACAAACAGACTCGTAAAGCCGTAAGTGGTTGTTTTATAACATAATAAATAATAATGAATATAGCCGCTTTATAACTGCGTTGATGGCTGGAAGGTGAATGATTACAGACCTTCAGAAATCATGATACACCAAATTTGAAAAAGTTTACGTAAGTATTACAGTGTTATTACATAAAATTCTCCTTGCTGGCTTTGAGTTTTATTAACTCCGTAATTATATAAATAGGGACGAGAGCTTGACTTTAGATCCAGTACTAGTGTACTTTTCGATTAATATAAATTGATTTTACGATCAAAAATAAACGTGTGCTTTGTCGATCCCAAAGAAAGGTCGTTAATCAAAATATAACAAAGTCATTCATGGCGTATTAAATAGATCTTTCGCAAATCGAATTAATGAAATCTAATTACTCTTACCCTTCGTCAGATGGAGCCTCTTCCCCCGCCTTTGGTGTGCACACGACGCACTTGTATCGAACTTTATTGATGGAATAAAACTGCATATAAATTTTATGATGTATAAACGGGACATTTCTAAAACTTTATGGGGCAAGCACTTTAAGGGGACCAAATAACTAAACTGACACAAGTGACGTTCCTTAAGCGACTTGCTTGCAATCAATTCAATAATTGGTAAATTATCCAGATCCTCCGGCTCAATAGCTTCTCTTTCTTTTTATGTTTCATTAAACCGCACTTCTGAGTTTTCATGGTGTGACTTAACTTAGTCATACATAATGTATTCCTTATTGTAGATAGTCAAGTTCTTCAAAACTGACTTTAGAAAGATTTCGCCACCTTGGAAAACCATGGCTCGTGGGTTCTTTATATGATACTGGTTCCATGTTAAGGAGCTTAATACAATTAAATAAAAAATGTTTTAAGTAATTATATACTAAATAATCGTATGTCGAATTATAAAAAATATGTTACGTACGCAATATATATAAAAAAGTATACAATATATAATAAAGTATTGTCAAAATTGTCTTCGTTTCAATCCGTAAAATAATTATTTATAACAAGACATACAGATTCATAACAACAAAATTTACATGTTTATAAGAAATCATTATGATATACGTTTATCTAAATGGTGGTACCATATCGAAAAAGTAAATTGTACTACTGTTAGGATGGATGACGTCCCAGCAATTCTATCGTCACCCCACCTGGTATATCGACAAAGTATTATGGTGACTATAAATTCGAGTTAAATTGGAGACATATCTTTTAATGTTCGTTTATTGAAGTGTTTATGTGGTGGTCGGTAGGGCCGCGACGTGTCTAATGGCTCCGAGATGAATTTTCGCTAACGATAACGGTGGGGAAGTTTTAAAGAACGAAAGTCGACATCGGAATGATTTTACCATCGAAGTTTTATCGGTGTTTTAATGACTCTAATACGTGATTATAACTTTAAGAATACTCGCGACTACTAATACAAATATACATAGCCAAAATACATAAGCGGAAAATTTTCAAAATTTCCTTTTTCCAAGTTGTTTGAAAACTTTAATATTGAATTTTGAAAAATAAATGTTTCATTCGCTCTCATCATTCATTTATCATCATTTTACTTATTTAAAATAAATTTACCATTTCAGGTTATTTCAAAAGGGATTTTTTAGACGAGACGTTGGCAAGCGAGTTGACGGTTCGCCTGATGTAAAGATATCTCTTCACCACCGCCATCACCATCGCCAGATCTACGACCCTCGTGGCTTTACCACCTTTTAAAATTAGGTCCCGAATACCTCACTTACCGGGCGAAACGCGAACGCGATGCTTTCCCGAACGACCGGACCCATTCGTGCAACAACAAAAGCTGTTACGTGGTCCTACCGGATACCTAACAGAAGACCGGAGTAAAGTGGACATTTAATACTTTCGCATCTCTTCTGGCGAGTGAGGTGGCCGGAGCCCAATTTTCAAAAGGTTGTCAACACATCTGCAACCCTCAGGTGTAGCAGATGTTCATGGGCGGCTGTATTCTCTTAACATCCGGTGAACTGACTGTTCGCTTGGCAACTTATCGCATAAAGAAAATAACCTCATTCCACTTAAGACCAACCCTCTTTAAGTGTTTTACTCTGGTAAAAGAGTTTGGGACTGTTTTAATTGAGATGAAAAAAATATATAATCACAACTTATTACGTAATCATGTGTTAATCATATGCATATATGTCGGCAGCATCTCGACGTCTAGCGCACTACCCATTAGATTAGTTCGCCGACACACGTGACGTCACTCTGTCATAGCATCAAGCCGTTCGTGGAAGGGCGAGCAGCGATCTGCCGCGGACGCTGGCGCATTAGTGCCTTGACAAATGACGATTTTATGCAAACTCCACCGCCGGCCCTGCCACCGACACTCCTTTACGTCTATAGTGCTGTCCGAATGAGTCGATAAAATTTCAACTACATTTAAATAAATATTTTAGGCGCATTTCTACACAACGTTTTCTAGTCCCAAACTAAGCAACGCTTGTACTATGAGTGATAACTGATAAACATACTCAAACATACTAGATAACTTATAAACATAATTTTGTAAATAAATACATATTATACATATATAAATACTATTTTATACTGCCTATAAGCTACATGGATCGGTTGCAGATCGTTTACCTAAAAGTTAACCAACATACTCAAATATTCTAGCAATTTTTCGTTAATCGATATATCATGTCCAATGATGCAACGCGCTTCACTAGAGCAATTCAAATGAGAATAGTTTAGGCGTAGGTAAACAAAGTTACGTGCAGCATTTGGCGTCGACGCGTTTCGCTGAACTACATTGTTGAAGGATTACTAGACGTAATATATTTGCTATGAAGCGATTTTAAGTGATTATGTCCGACACATGTAGGTTATGTAATGAAATGATTTGATTAAAAGAACTATTTCCAACTACTCTAGACCCTTATACCGTACTACAACTACTACTACAAGAGATTTTAGTAAAGCTCAAAAGACTTTACACATTCAATTAACTAAACTAGGTTACGAACTCTTATGTAAGCTCATCATTTAGGCAAAAGAAAGGCACCGGGCACCAGGAAGCACAAGTCTTATGAAAATGCAATAGTGAAAAGTAGAAGAAAACTTGCGATGGTTAAATATTACTTGTCCTAGCGGTCGTGTAAATAGACAAGATGAAATGAATAGGAATACCTAAGGCCCTCTTAGGCGACCATCATGTAAATACTCAATAGCTTGAGGCACAAAGACTTCAGAATAGTTACTGAAGTCTTAACGGTATTTATAGGTATACGTTTTCTATCGTCACACTTTGTCATTGAACAACTTTTGAGGGGTTTTTTTGTTTGTTTAACGGCCCTGGAGTCACGGCCTTTAGGCAAACTTTTGAGAGCAACCTTCGAGTGTTGCCAGTATGGGGGTTTGCTGCTTTCTTTGTCAAAGAATCATAGCTTGAAATCTGAGATACGACGGCAAATAAAACGCAAAATAATTACAATGACCCATTTCGTTCTATTTTAGAAAAATTAATGCTACGACTAACCATTCCTTAAAGCGTTCCTTAATCTGAGATATCCATCTATTATTGAAGTAAACATCTATCGATCAATATTAAATATAGTCTGTATTTTTACCACTATATAATAATAATTACTCAACAGAAGCTATTTAGCTATTAGCTATTTATGTTAGCTAAATAGCACCAGCTAATTGAACCACATTTAATTTAAACTCTCTACCAACAGGTAAGGCCAATTAAGGTGACTAATAGAGTTATCAGACGCAGCCGAAGAACTTTGTGAGAGTTTTGATAGGTTAAGTGCGTTAACAGTCGCACGATTGATGAATGGCGCCCTCAGTCACGTTTGGGACTGAGATAACCTTAGAGAAAGACTATTTAGACGTGAGGGCTTATGAGCTATATCCATTCGAAAGAGCACTTTGTTTTATTTATAAAATTACAACAGTCAAGAAAAGAGTCAGGAAAACAGACCGCAGTGCGCGTGAAACGATAAACCTAATGAAAACGATCGCAAATGAAATTGCTCCCAACCCTAAAAAAATTGAACAAGGGAGTAGCAGCTTTAATTTTATTACACTTCGATTCTGTAAAATGGACACTCGCGTTGGGCACGTCCTCAGACTGTCCTTATTTTAATCAGCGTAGGGTAACAAGATTTCCGACGTGTAATCGGATGGTCTCAGTGGGGCGCCGGACAGTTTATTAGATTGTCGCCCTAACTTGGCGGTGCGGTGTGGATGAAAAAATAAATGAAAGCGATATGAAGGGAGATATAACACAATATTTTCAACATACTACAGAATATTAAGTTAACGTGTAATTTAATTTTAATTTCAATACTATTTTTTTAATTCGGATATTCTCTTTTCGAAACGAAGTTAAATGCATTATCGTAACCCGTGATTGTGTGTAAGTCGTTCCGTAATGTGAATGCTCCCTCCGTTCTATTCTTAGCCGCTAGTTTTCTCTTTCTCTTTCTAACACTTTTTGCCTGACTAAACAAATTGGACCAGGATTAAAAAAAACTGCTGTTTAATAATTGTTTTTTCACAATTTTTCATCCTTTATTATTTTTTTTTCATTCCGTGCTTTTCATTTATTTTACATACAGTTACTTTCAAACGGTAATAATGGTTACTTTTTCATTTTACATTTTTTATATATACACACTGAACCTGAAAATTGAAGGGTTACTTAAACAGCGATAATAGTTATGTCTTGTAAAAAATTATTATTTTGCTGTATTATTTGCGAAAGTGTTGTCTAACACAACTCCCAAGCCCAGCCCATAGAATATATCTTCTTGTACCAAGGTAATTATCCACGTACTTTCTTCTGGGGATAGTTATACGATGCTGTACTGATTACGGTAGACAATCAAAAAAATTGTTTGTAGCTACAGCTCGGTTTACCATAAAATGTTCTTGTTCCTATTTTGCATTTCATATTTAACACAATTCTAATTTTTATGTTTTAAGCTGTATTATACACAAATTAAGCCTGTTTTTAGCTTTATATCATCCCGTTCTAACCTACGTACAACATTTATACAAGGTATCTATTTAATTAAAAAACTTTCACCGGCAATGACATCTCAGGTTTTTATTTGGTAAAAAAAGTGCAGTATGCACTACGATAACGCTAAGTTTAACAAACATTGAAAAACTGTGAACACTTAATCAGACAATAAGAATAACAAACATACAGCACACTTATTTTAAACTAGCTGCTGCCTGCGCCTACATCTGCGTAGAATAGGCTGAAGACGTAACATTCAGACAGAAAGTCAAATATAAAAAAAAATATGTATATAAATTATAGCCTATGTTTCATTCTGATGTATAAGCTATATTATTGTAAAGTTTCATTAAAATCCATTCAGCATTTGCGTCACAAAGTAACAAACATCCAACCATGCATACAAACTGTCGCCTTTATAATATTAGTAAGGATTGCCACGCGATTTTCAGGACCACGAAGAAAGTCGTTCATGAACTTAACCTTCAGAATGGCCACGCGCCGGAGCGTAATATATCCATATAGAAACATCGCGCGTGAATTCGGAATTATCAATAGTCGAACAATCGTCGTTTGACGCGATTAGATTGTAGGGCGACAACAAAGCACAGATTCTGACCGGATCCCGACGGTTACGCGACGCTAGTTGTAAAAAAACGCCCTCACCTTGACTGCCCCCGCTCATCCCGCACCTACGATAAATTACTTTTCATGATAGGGTGACCACAATTTTATTTGTTTTCGTCTGAAACACCTGAAAAATTATAGAATCAACTTAATTATTCCTTTCTTGTTTTTACGCGAATGTTATACATATTTAAATGAAGCTATTTTAACGGATTTTTCACGTTTTAGTTTCTTTTCTTTTTTTTTTAATTGCCCTTAGTTTAGGATAACATTTTCCTGTGTTGTAAGGACATTTACATATATAAATTTCACGTCGACACACATCCATATATGAAACATAGATGCGACGCCGAAGCTAATACGTTGGCACCTGCGCTACGGACTCAGTTGCTCGCTTTTATTTCAAATCCTGGTGCTATCACCAATAAAATTATTACTTACAATTTTAAATACTGACTTACTACGTGCTCGTTGGTGCTTGTTTGTGAAAAAAGGAAATCCAGCATTTGTATTGAACGTAAACATCCCAAAATTACTACATTTTTTTTAATTACCTCTGCTCTTAAACGTTCACAATGTTTTACAAATTACGTGATAAGTGTGTTTAATATTAGTTTGATATGTTTTCATACTATTTATTTGATTAAATTGTAATTATCACTAACATAAACCAATCCTATTCTATCTTTGGTCTTCGTAGCACGAAACAAATAATGTCCCGCGGAGCTGCCCAGCGTGGTCGCCCCCAGTGACTTTTAGTCCGCGCGACATATTCGTGGTGATTTATAACACTCACAAACAATACGAACCGGTTACGGTTATGAAACCCGTGAACTGAGGGTGCTACTATGAAAGGCTTTTTGTTTCCAACGCTACATACGCCCCGTGATTATCGCCATTGCACATGGCATAGTTTCGTTTCGGCCAACGTTGAATTTATGGCTTTTGATGGCCTTTAAAGTAAGTTTAAAAACTACTATAAAGCTAAAACGTAGGTAAATTACTCGTATGTAATTGCGTTTGAATGTTAATTTATGATTATTTTTACTTTTACCACCAGTCTTTGCACTCAATATGATTTTTTATTGATATTTTTTTTTAGATCGACTGTTAGTTTCGTAGGTGAAGCAGCTGGACACTGGAAGACTCAGGTTTCAATTCCGCAGCGCCGAAGAAAGCAGAAGCCCCGTTTTCCTATAAAAAATCACATTTTAAGTCATTTTTCAATTTTTAGTGCTTGTCTCTGCACTTGAAGTGTAACACAAAAATGTTTAGATAAAACTGAACCAAACATTCTGCCGCTACCAATATTCTAACCTGCGCCCTTACGGATTAATTCGCGTCCAATCGCGCCACTAAGCTAGGTGGTCAACGTCGTAATCGTTTATTTTTAAAATTTCATGTTTTCATTTCATTTTAATTTTCATATTCTTACATTCAGAAATAAGCAATTTTCGAGACCACTTTACCATAATGAAATAAAATTTCGAACGGGTTTGAAGATGAGCCGTGATAGCTCAGTGTCCGGGCGCTCGCCTTTATTTCAATATACTCGAGCAACCTGAGTTCGATCCCCGGTGCCGGCACCAATGAAGTTTTTAACTTTAAGTGCTGACTTATCACGTGCTCCGCGGTGAAGGAAAACATCGTGAGGAAACCTGCATATTTTGGAAATAATAACAAAAAAAAAATATATTTCGAAGATATGTGAAGTCCGCCAACCAGCAGTGGGGCCGCGTGGTGGACTATGCCCTGATACCCTCTCTATAGAGGAGACCTTTGCCCAGCAGTGGGACATGTATAGGCACTTCCGAACCAAAACAATCGCGCGAAAGGCAGACAGCTTCCGCGGGAATCAGATGCGCTCCCGTCATTACTCTCGCGACATTGGCCACGCAGCCATCGCCAATAAAAACACGGAGGGACCTCCTGCCGCGCTGTTTACTCCCAGCCGGCTCCCCCAGCCAAGGTATTATAATTAAGCTCATTTGTTATTTCTGCGCGGTGCGGCGCAGGCGCGATAAGCCGCTCCGCATAGGTGCGTCGTTAAAGTGAGTTTTTTGATGCGCACGCGACTCGGCCCCGCATTATCTTTTTATCGTTGCACCCCAAACGTGTGGATTATACCGTCCGCCAGGGGTTGGCAACAATGTGCTGAAAGGACACTCACTTTGTGTGCAATGTTCTGACTGAAATAACCGCGGCTCGATCATTATAGCCCTATTGAAAGTTGTGGCACTATTCTGATAGAAACGAAGACTATCGTGATTATTCGAAAACGATTTTGTGTTAGAACAATTAAGAGATTTATCCCATTAAAGAATCGCGAAATTAAAACCGTATAGTTCCTCCGTTCCATACAACGAAAGCACGTTTTAGATGGAGACATAGAAGGAGGCGTACATGATACATTCATTTCATTTATGGATTTTAGATTAAGTAACGTATTATGAATTTCTTAATCAAAAAGTATTTCATTATCAAAATATATTCTTTGAAACCTTCAGAATTGAGGATACATTTGCGTATCGGGTGTTATTTTATTTTATTACCTAAAACAGTGACGCAGCATCAAACGTTGCGCACCTCTGCGGCTAGGTGCACACAATAGCGCGGCGCGCGTGTCACCCGTGTGTCGCCGAACAAATATTGCATTACCAGTGTCCCCTGCGTCCCCTCCCCTGGCCACGCGCACGTCACGTGAGAGTCCATTGTTCTGTCCCCTGCACCCCACATTAATCCCACGGAAATTGCAATGTAAGTGGCACTGATTTTTGGACGGAGGTATTATTACTCAGTGCCCAGAAATTATATTCGTTGTGTTATATAATATTTGGAAGCCAACGGCTAAAGCTAACCGCGCGAGAAGATTCTACGTTATCTGTCTCGTGCTCAGCGGTAAAGGAAAAGCATCTTGAGTAAACCTGAATCTTTTTTAAATAATAACCAAAAATATATTTCAAAGATACAAGTCCGCCGAAATGAGGTCTTGTGGTGGATGTACTAATACTCCTTGTACAGGACATACATACAATAGGTTGTTACTTTACTGTAATTTAAAATTAATAGATACTTATAATATAATATAGTATAATACTTTCGCGTTTCGTCTGCTGAGTGAGGTGGCCGGAGCCCAATTTTCAAAAGGTTGTCAACGCATCTGCAACCCTCGGGTGTAGCAGATGGCCATGGGCGGCGGTATTCACTTAACATCAGGTGAACCGCCTGCTCGCTTGGCAACCTTTTACATAAAAAAAAAAAAAAAATAACACGTCTTCCGGATTCGCACTCAGACGCTTTAACCTTTCATAAACATAATTTTTTTCACATTTTATACAATGCTTGGCGCATATTATATCCTTTACAATTTGAAATATCTTTCTACAGCTATCATTTGATCGAGATATGTCGTCATTGCCATATGTAGTTTAAACTTTTCATAAAAATTTCCGAGTCAAGCAGTGGCGAAAAAATTTTCGCTCTTTTCTCAAAACATTTTTATGTTTTATCTTTATCTTAGTGCGGAGATTAACACTATAAAAGTTTAAATTACATACGAGTTTCCGTGCTTAATAAACAGTTCAACGGAATGGGGGTGCTAAACGCGTCGCGTGAGACGGCCACATTGATGGTAATTGTGACGGTATGCGGGCTGCCCGATGGTGACCTGCGTCGGCCGCAGCAATTGAGATTGTGAATGAAAGATAAAATGCGGACATTCACGAGTAGGGTGGTTTGCGGTCGAAGCAATACGATACCGCGGTACTTTACTACAAAAAAATTTAATTGTTAGTTACTTTCGGTGCGGGGAACAAAGACAAACATGCTTATTATCTAAAGAAATTAGCTATGAGTTATCTTATGGTATAAGATTACATATATAGTAATTGTGCTTTGCTTTAATTGTGTCTTGTGCAGGTCAATATGGAGGAACAAACTGGCACTGGACACAAACGAAAGTTTGGTACATTTGCAATATAGCCGGCTATGGAATAAACGGAGCTTTTCCAAAGACCTTTCTGCTACTGCGCTTTGATAATACTTATATACTACGATTAACTTTCATTAGAAAAGAAGGTTATTGAGATTCGAGATATCAGTAAGATTACCTTTATAATAGTTATACAATGACTATGAATTTTTATATTTAGGTTAAATAATATGCAATTGGCAAATCTTTGCGCCATTCCTCTATTATAGGTTTTGGTTCGCTTTCAGAGAGCTTAAAGATTTTCAAAGGTGTAAAGATTTACTTTCCACAATGATTTATTTTCAAGCAATCTATATTCCACTGAGCACCTTAACTATGATTAGTTACGACAAAATTTCGGAAATTCTAAAGCCTATTTTAGATACTCAGTGCCATTTTTCTACTTGTGACTACAATTGTAAAAGATTCTAACACATTGTGAAAGTTACGTATGTGTTTATGTATAGGCTTATTTATGTCGTTCTTGTTTGACATGTATCCCGTTGCAATTACACGAAAAGACCCTGTATTGGCCATAAATTGTGCTGACTAACGCAGTTGATTCCCAATTGTCCTCCAGTTAAGGTGATCGACCACCAGGTGGCACGTGACTCAGACAATTTAGTTAATAGATATCATGTGAGTGGCACGCAACAAGGAATGGAGTTGCTGTGATTATAAAAAATACAGTTCTTTGTAATAAAACTAAAACACCTTTACATATTGATTTGTAATTTGAAATCTATTTCAGTGTCCCTCGTGCAAAAATTTTAAGACATATTTCCCTATTCGTGTAAATTTAAATGATAGGAAGGTGATCCCATGCTTTCTATTTGTGTATATAACAAACTAATAAATCACACACCCACCAAACAGTTTTCGGTCTTTCTATAATTTTACACTTAAAAATATTATGTTCGATAACTTACTCTACCCCACTCAATGTTCTAATGGCCCACATCCCGTCTAATTGAGAGCCAGTTTAGGTGACAGATGCAGGTACGAGAAGGTGGCGGTAATGTGTCTTAATTCAATTATAAACAATGTAACGCCTATCCACGTACTGGCTAATACGACTCACTTATACATCCATTACAATATGTAATAGCAAACCGCTTTTATTTTAATATACTGACGCATACCCAAATTATAGGAAACATTTTATCGATTTCGTTTCAAATTCCTGAAGTTTGTATTGCTTTACAACATCCCTAAGAGTGAACCCTAGTTATTATCCTGTTTTAGGTCAAGAAAAGCAACTTTACGGTGTCCACAGCCCCAATGTTTGCGGATGATTTTTTTGTGTGTAATAAGATGGCTGGTGGTTCACCCGCCGCCCATAGACATTTGAAACATCCAATGTAAACTCACAAATGCGTTACCCAAAGTGGGCCCCTGCTACCTGACTAACCAGACGAAACGCAGAAGTGTAATATTTCTACTTTACGGTGGTCTTCTGCGAGGTCGTGGTACTAACCCGGACGGACCTGCCCATTCTTGCGACAGTTAACACTGCTGTTTCTACTTTTTAACCGACTTCAAAAAAGAAGGAGGTTTCTCAAATCGACCGTAAATATTTTTATTTTTTTATGTGTGTTCGCGGATAACTTCGTCATTTACGAACCGATTTTGATGATTCTTTATTTGTTGGAAAGCAGATATCTCAAGGGTGGTACCATGATAAGGAAACCCGGATCTGATGGTGGTATCCCAGAGAAATCGAGGGCAATCCTCAAATGTTATAAGTGTTGACAATGTTTTAGGTTCCTGTTTGAAGTCTTTTTTGTCCAAAATTATTTTATCAGTGTCTACATGAGCAGGAAATAAAAAAAGTACAGAAGTAATGTAAAAACTAATTACTATTAGTGAATAATACGACAAAAATTGAAAAGACCACGGGTCATTAAATGCTTCCGCATTTATTTTCGTCACAGAAATGAAGTTTAAATAGCAAATAGTTGAGTGGCAACCCTAACGAAGGGTTGTTAAACCAAAACTAACATCTTCCTTTTAAACATCCCACAGGCAGTGTATGTGTAACTTGAAACATATCGCTTAAAGTGAAATAAAAGCGCTTTGTAAAGGTGTCGCCCGCACTCTAATAGTTTTGGAGAGCCCGCATGCCTTTTGTAATTGGTAACGTTATACTTTACCCTTAAAGGTCTCGCTTAGAAGAGTAATGATTTGTCTCGCCCGTTTTGTTTTAATGCGTGTGTTCACCTTAGTCCGCTTAGCACGGTGGTATTTTTGCTTATCTAACTGCTTTTTTAAGTTTAAGTTACGATTGCATATTCAAATGTAACAAATAAGTTCTTTGTCATATACAATTATAGTTTGCAATTCTGTTATTGTGGTTTTGCGTTTAAACGTGATTTATTTATTTAATTATTTGGGAAACATACAATATACACCACACTTATAATTATTAAAAATAGCTTGTACAAATACCAGTTCAAATTCCTCTAATAGGAAAATCATAAATACACAGAAATTAAAAAAAAAAAACAATTACAGCCTAAACAATATAAAAAAGTAATAAATAAACAATAACAACCACAGTAGTTAGTAAAAGTGTAACAAAAAACAATAAATTACTATTTTTATTTAAAATTTAAACTGATTATTACATCAGCTATCCGTCAGTGAAAGTCCCGTCCAAATCGGTCCAGCCGTTTCAGAGATTAGCCGGAACAAACAGACAGACTGACAAAAATTGTAAAAAATGCTATTTATGTATATGTACCATGTATACATCCATATGCATTTAGTAAAAGGCGTTTATCCGAAACCGAGTCAGATGTCATTCATTAGATATTACTTTTAAAGGCATAACACGTGGACAATCACTCAGATACAAAACATTTATCTGTGGGTCACATATATATATATATATCAAAATACCTTGGCAACTGCGCCATGGAATCACCTTAAGAGGACTAGAAACAACTATAAATAGGATACAAGGCAACAACTAAGAAGTAAGTGAAACCTAAGATCATTCGATTAAATATGGTAAAAAAAAATGTCAGAATGGATGATGACCGTTTTTCATCTTAATAATAACAAAAATTGGCGGCGGTTGAAGTATAATATTTAAATATAAATGTAACCCATATACATATGAAGAAAAAATTGCGTACAAACCTACTCTGCATGATACATATCTCATCTGTGACGAGGCCGAAGACAGCGTAAAGGCTGACCGCATTACCAAAGTCAAAGTCAAGTCAAATATCTTTATTCAATATAGAAGCATTCACTTACTTATTGATAGTCAAAAAACTCTACCACCGGTTCGGAAGGTAAGCCACTGACCTGAGAAGAACCGGCGTAAGAAACTCAGCGGGACATTATTTTTTTTTTTTACTTGCCAAAAAAGTTACAAATATGTGTACAATTATTAGACTCCTATTAAACTCCACTTGAAAGAGCCTGGAGCGATCAATTCATTTCCAGAGTGTGTTATCATTCATATAATCACTAATACTATAATAGCCATTAACACACAAACGTTCCTTTACAAGTTTTTTGAATTTAGCAACAGATTCATTTTGAACGTTTTCTGGGATTTTGTTGTAAAAGCGTATACATTGTCCCATAAAAGATTTACTTATTCTACGCAATCTAGTTGAGGGTAGAACTAATTTATGCTTGTTCCTAGTATTTACATCATGCACATTACTAAATTTTGAAAAGTCATTCTTATTTTTGTGGACATACATAACATTAGCAAGTATGTACTGAGAAGCTACAGTCAATATTTTTA